TCTCATGTTGTTTTTTTTTCATTTCTTTTGGTTGGGTGGAGGAGGGGCTGCATGTGTGCATTAAATTTTGTGTTATGGGAATGCTCAAAAATATTTGCTTTATTCCATTTCAGCTCATAAAGTGATTTAGCAAGTATTCTTTTTCCCTTAAGAAGTGAGCAGAAACATATACGTGCACACACACATTTTATATATATATATATATATATATATATATATATATATCATATAAACCAGCTGGATGTATTCCATAAGAGCTGTCTGCATGCCATCTGTGGAGTTAGCCTTCAAGACAGGACATCCAATGTAGATCTGTTTAACAGGTATAATATTGGAGGAATCAAGACTTTCCTCATACAGTCTCAGTTGCAGTGGATTGGTCATATCTTGAGAATGTCTAATGACAGGATACCCAAGATCCTAATGTACAGCCAGTTAGATCAGGGCTTCAGGAATGTAGGATGCCCATGGCTAGGATACAAAGACAAGCTGAAGAGCAATTTGTCAGCAGTCAATATATCACATAACACCTTTGAGTGCTTAGCCTTGGAGCGAGTAGAATGGAGATCAACATGTTTTAGTGGAGTCAGCAATTTTCAGTCTGCTTGTCTGAATCATCTTCAAGAAGTGAGGGCAAGATCTAAAAGATCAGCCAATCAAACAGTGACTGTATCCCACAATCCTCACTCTTGCTACATATGTGGCCACCTTTGTAAATCACTAGTGGGTCTTAAGTACCATTTAAGATCATCGCACAAAAATTCATAACTGAATCAATTGGTTGTCAGATCCTCATGCATTGAAACCAATGGGAAAGTCCATTATATATATATATATATATATATATATATATATATATATATATATATATATATATGTGTGTGTGCATAATTTTTGCTGAAAAGTTTGGGCCTGACCAAGAAGGGAATTTTTTTTTTTTTAAATTCATAAAACCTTCATTATTAATACTCAACTTCATATTCATAATACCTTTACATAAGATTGTAACCCCAGTTTCCATACAAAGTTAAGCAACATTGGGCCTGGTCAGTATCCAGATAGATGACCACTTAGAAATAACAGGTGCTGCAGATGTGGTGTAATGGATAATGGCTCAGAATCATTAATTGAAGAGCAGAGTTTCAATTCCAGTTGGGTTTGTTATATTCACTTACGTGCAAATACATTTGAGAAAAGTATGAATCCATCTCTTCTATCCCCAACTGTGGGTTAATTACTAACACTTATATCACTAAATCATTATCTCAAAAATTTTTATAATCTAAAAATAATTTATGGCTTTAAATAACCTGTCACTGGTTGATAAGTTGTGAAACAAATGATCAATTTACATAAGATGCAATGAGAAGTTAACTAAAATTCAAAGAAATTTAAGAATGGACAAAATGAGATATGTTCAGTAAAATAGAAGCAATCTATTTGTGTAGATTAAATAAAGGGTTCAATTCAAAATTCCTACCGAAATTGATGCACATCTGAAAAAGTCTGGAGGCCCCAGTGAATAAAATGTTATGACAATATCAACAAAGATGAGGGTATTAGTTCAATTGTCAATAATGATAAGTCCTCATCTTGGAAATTCTGACAGAAATTTAAGATCTGTCAAGTTTATCTAAAAGGAATAGAATGCAAGTGCATTAAAATAAGTGATCAGGACATTTTTATGCTTACAAACTCATTTTGAGAAAAAATGTTGCTACCAAGTTCTTTAAAATTTAATTTTTACAAGCTTTGTATTTTATGAATAGATTTGTTTTACTCTAACACATCAACATCATTGGTTCCTGGAAGCTCCCCACAGAACATAGGATTGTATCTGATGTTTCAACACCAGGTCATTTTTTTATAGTTTGAAGTTCTCATCAATATATATATCCTTTTTTACCTGGTTTTGGGATTTCTGATTTTCTTTGTCAGAGTAACTTTCTCTTAATTGAACTGCCTCTGTAAGACCAACAGACTCCACATTCTCTATATATCCATAACATGTATTTACTATTTGTAAAGGATGTTTTGTGTACATAGTTTGTCTCCAGGGTGCTTCATTTGCTCCAATATATATTCTTTTTCATTATCTGTGATTTTACAGTGGCTTGGTATATTACATTATTCTATAAGTAATTTCCATTTAAGGGACATTTGTCCTTTGCTCTACAGTTACACTTGGATTTCGTTTGTGTGTGTTTTTTAATATCTTGTGGAGAGTGTGTATGAGTTTAATGAATATTTTTCATACATTTGTTTTTACATTTTTGTTTTATGGTGGGTTGAACTATATAATGTTTCTTTACCTGTTGTCTTTTTTGTGGTGTGTATGTGAGTGTTGCTGAAAATGCATTATCTTTTAGAATTGTTTCATAATATTTCTTGGCTTCATTGAAGATGGTTTCACTAGAAGAATTGACATATCTTGTGGTTAATTTATTGTGGGACTGGCATGATTATTGATGTGGCGTAGTTGGAAGATGAATGTAGAAAGTGGTTTCTCATTAGATTTTCTGGATGGTTGATATGTACCTTTCCTTCAGTTAAATGTGACATATATGAAATCTACTTTTAGGTTAGTTTTTATGTTCATTGTATACTCTATTTTTGAATTTTTTTATTTTTCTGGTTTTGTCAAATTTTTTTGTCTTTTACAGTTTAAGATTATGTCACCATTGTCCCTGTAGTGCCCTATATTATTTTTATTGATCATTTTACTTTGTATAGCAAATGTATACCTATGAGCTCACAGGTCCAAGCACCATCAAAACTTCCCATTGTACTATCAAATGTCCTTTCTTTATCCATGCATCTTTATTGTTGTATAATAGTGATTTTGGGGATTGTTTAATTTTTATTTTGTTTGTGTTTATTTTCATGGATTTTGTTATGCAAGAGTAAAAATCTATTATATCTAGTTGTATAAATTGACAATTATGTTTTTTTTTTGTTTTTTGTTTTTTTTTTTTAGTTTGTGGAACCAGTCTATATCTGTTTTTCCATGGATTTACACTTAATTTCTTCCTTAGTTCCAAATTCTTGCTAATATTATTTTACTTACTTTATCTAGTTCACTTTTGGTAGGGTTTATGAGTTGGCATGTTGGGTTTATTCAAAATTATCCTTATGGTTCTTTAGTGTAATAAAGGCTCGGACATAAGGGATGCAATTTATTTGATCATCTAGGTCTAATATTTAGGCAAGGTTTTCAGCTTCAATATTCTGTTTTATTTTTTTGTTGTTGTTGCTTTTCTGTGTTTTAGATTGTCCTTGAGTAATTTTTTGATTAAGGGGGAGGGGCATATAAATTTCTAGTTTTGTCCACGCTGATAAATATATTAGGTGAATTGTTTTTATGGAAGCATCTAATTGTTTATGAAATTTTGTTTCCTACTAATTTAGTAGTCTTTCTTGAAGTCGTCTAGTTCCTTATATCATAGGTTTTGGACATTTTTTCTTGTTTTAAAGCCCTATTTTTCCTTGAGTTCAGTATTTGTGTTTTTGATTTATAAAGAAATCCACTTTCCATCTCATTCTTTTTATGAAGCTTCACATGGCCTGATGATTGTGTTTAGCATGAAACAGTCTGTAGCCACCAGGTATTGATCTCAATTTCTATTTTTATATTTACATTATAACTCATAAATATTGCATACCGTAAGACTATATTTTTATCATATCTCCTAATAAACAGTAGAGCACTTTCACTACACTTAAAACCTATCATGGATATAGAAAAGTTTAGCTTTGAAAACGCCCTAAATATACACATCCAATCACCACCCACCTATAAACTAAAATTAATAGAAAATATAGCAAGCCCCATAAAAAGAATTTGATGGAAAGCACATTTCTTTTTAAACCAAGAAGCTTTTTATTTTTATCTATTAATTTTAGTTTGTAGGTATTGGTGTTGGAATGGGTACATTTTAAGGAATATTATATTTTTAATTTTTTATTTAATCATAATAACAGTAATGCAACTGAAAAAAATGCCGGAAAATTATGAGAAGTTAAAGTATTTTTTCAGGCTATCAGGACTTCTGCCAAAAAGTTCTCAATAGGTAACTAGAGTTACCTATGCAGTTAATATTTAATAATTCGTGAAAATTTCAAGTGACTTATCTGGTTGACCAACGAAAGAGTTCCACATCAAAATGCTCATCAAGGCCAGAGGGTGGATAAATCTATTGATCTCTGATACTTTCATGATAATTATTCTGATAAACTTTCCTCTATGGTACCTAGACTTTATGAATTTAAGCTCAGTATTAGATTGGCAGCACGGTCTCATCATTTTACAGTTGAAATGACTAGATGGAACCGTAAGTTCTATGCTAACACTTTCTTCTATTGCACTTCTTGCTTTCCAGTCAAATTTGATCTTCAAAAATTTTAATTCAATATCACTTGTTATCTTCTATTTTAATTCCATTATTTTAATGTTCTCTCCCCTTAATAGTAATTTTTTTCTCATATTCTCTGACACTCAGTAACTCCTTGAATCTTAGTGTCTTTATTGCCTTGTTTGGGGTAAAATGATTAAAAATAATTTTTTGAATGAATGAACAAAAGCTAATTCCCATTTTATAATTTTTAACATACTGGAGATTCAATAGAAATTTTTAGTTATATAATGTTTTTTTTTTTTTTTTTTTTTCTGGCAATGATAAACTGCCAGAAATACCAGAAAAGGTGATGGAAGAGTAAAGAAATAGTTATTTCATCTGGAAATCTGCCAAATTGATCATATGACTGCAGTGAATCAACTTTTAGTTTCTGGAAGTGCATCAAGAGGATATATCAAATCTTTTCTGGACAACTTTGTTTTCAACTTTTGACACTGTAAAACCCAGGATACCATTCACTTCACAATGACTAATACTGCCGGTCCGTCTGATATAACAATTTCCCCGTCACTTTATCTGTTGGCACCATCTTTGTATCTAAACTTGAACTCCGTCAAATCATTCTATCTCTGCTTCTGTCTTTAGCCATATCTTTTTTCACTCGGTAACTTTCCATTTCTACTTCACAGCCTTCCACCCCCACCTTCTCTCTCTCTTTGCCTCTCTCCCTTTCTTTCTCTCTTCACAGGTTTCCTTTCCATTTAATTCTTCTTTCTCTTCAACTCATTTCATACTCATTCCTTTTTTCTCTCCATGTTTCAGTCAAAAATATATTTAATCTTTATACATTCTTCAAGTCTTCCAGAAAAGTCAACATCCTATAACTTATCTATCTCTCCATAATATCTCCCCTCTCTCTCTCTCTCTCTCTCTCTATATATATATATATATATATATATATATATATATATATATATATAAACAAAAATACTGCAGTTAGGAAAACACACTCTGATTATTCTAAGAAAAGAACTCCCGAATTTGCTGGTGAGGGCCTCGGACTCAAAACAAAGGCCAACATCAAGTGCCTTGAGGAGGTAGTGCTGACCTGGATCAAGAGGTGGCTGCAGGAAAACTGTCTGGCAACAGGACTCTGCACCATGTCATACAAGTAGGAGAACCCAATCATAGCTGCCAGACAATTTCTATGACTACATCACCTCTTACATCTGGCCACCTAACTCCCCAGACTGCAACCCCTTTGATTATCATGTGTGGGGTGCAGTTGAGCAAGAGACCAACGATGAACTGAAGGCAAGGATTATGGCAGTATTCACCAACTTATACAAGGAGACCATCCAGAAAAGTTTCAAGACATTCCAAAGTAGTCTGGAGGCCATGGTTGAAGCCAAGTGATTTTATTGAATAAATTTACTTTTTTGTATTTCTAGATATTTTTGTATAATTTTGGTAAATATGTCGCTAAACAAAATCAACCAATTAAACATCTTGATGTAAATACCTGAACTGGTGGCAGTAAAGAATAGAACTTATTTGAACATTTTTACCATGGAAATAGACTTGTGATAATATCTGTGGGGATGTAGGCGATCATGGCTCTCCACATCTTCCCTCACAACACCCTGTAAACAACTTTGTAGTCTGCCAAGTCTGGAAAGTGAAGATTGAGAAGCTGCAGCTCACATATAGCAGCAATATTCCATTTGTTGTCTGATGTGCTGCTTGTAAAGGTTTTCATTCTAATTTGGCATCCAATTAGTTCATCCATCAAGCCTAAGATATCATTAGCCACAAATGCATCAAGATGAGGTCAAGGTGACAGATTGCATTATAAGATTTCTGCTGTATCTGGGCATCATGTATTTGATGAGGGGAGGGTCATCTATGGCCAACACCCAGGAGAAATACTTAATCACTTCTTTAAGTATCTAAAAAAATCCAACTGGTGGCTTCCCTCTATCTTTTCTACAAATATCTTTTGGTGCCATGACTGCATGAATTTAAAGATGCTACTAGATTGGCAACCTGGTCTCACCATTTTATTGTTGAACTATCTAAATGCAACTGTATTTTGTATTCTAATAGTTTCTTTACTCGTGTTTTTCACTTATAGAATTCTCTCTTGGTTTTGGGCTCCCCTGCCACTAACAATCATCACAATTTTAAAAGTAATATCAACTGTGATCTTCTGTCTTCCTGAATCTTGTTCTTTTATTCTTCTTTCTTCTCATTAAAGTTTTCCTATTCTCTATCACTCCCAGTAGCCCCTCATGTCTTAGTGACATTATTGCCTTTCTTTGGGTGAAATGATTAAAAAAAATGTTCTTGCCCTTATCTGATGCATTAACCAAAATGATGAACAAAAGGACCAACCCAACAGTCCAGGCTGGAGTAGTGACTCAGGCAGGCTGCATGCCTTTCAACAGGACTCTGCTTCCGCCACATGGACCATGACTAGTTGAACAAGAAATTTCACAAATTTGTCACCCCCAACATAGTACCACAAACACATGATTTTTTTTTTATCATTTCTTGTCAGATTGGAAGCTGCTGTGTCAATATTTACCTAATGTGTTCATTCCTATTTTTCTACATATCTGCATATATATATATATATATATATATATATATATATATATATGAAAGAGAAATGAGAATCCTAAAATTTGGCATGTACCATGTAATATTGTCAGGTTGTTGTCTGCTTATGAATCCATAAACATATTCTGAAATATTTAACATATCCCATGTGTGGATGTTTACATACATACATATAAATGCACCCCACACCACACACAAAAAAGATGTACCTTCAAATGGTTGAGCCATTTAATATTAATGAAAGTTACCTGCTTCAAGTAATGGCATCTTTGTCTTCTTCAGCATAGTCCTTTGAGACCTCACACACCAATCCCAGCATCTATATCACTTTTCAAAACAATTTGCAAAGTAGTCTTCTTTCAGAATTACCATCAGCCATTATGCTGACTTCTCCTGAATCTTGTCTACTATATAAGATCTGTTTTTTTTTTCCTTTTTAAAACTGATGTTTTGGTTGGGAAATGCCAACTGAATAACCTCATAGGAGCATTTTCCCACACATGCTCTAAGGTTCTCTAACTGGTTGCCAAGTCGCATACTTTCAGCAATTTTTATATCATCTTCAACTGCACTTACTGTCCATTTATTATAGTGGTACAAACCAAATAATCCTTCAAAATTAAGTTTTAGCAGGAAGTACTTGGAACTAACAAACATTTGGACAATTTTTACATTCATTCAGTTTAGAAAAGGTGTTTGTATGTATGCAAGAAAAACATAAAAAAACTAGACCACATTGTCAGTCTTGTTCAATAAAACATGTATTAAAGAAGAGTTGTTGCACAAATACACAAACACCCACATATAGCTTGGCTTCAGTCCCTTTCCCACCACCATCATATAATGTTCCTCTGTTTTTTTCTATAAATACTTTCATGCTAATTGTTTTGATTGGCCTTCCTCTTTGGTACTTAGACTTCATGAATTTAAGTGCAATGTATTGGCAGAAAGGTCTCGTCATTTTATAGTTGAAATGGTACTGTAAGTTCCATGCTCAGAATTTCTTCTCTCGCACTTCTTGCTTGTGGAACTCTCCACCAGTTTCTTGCTTGATCTTCAAATATCTAAATTCAATGATCAATCATTATCTTATGCCTCATCAATTCCTGTTCTTTTATTGTCCTCTCTCCCTAATAATGTATTCTTTTTCTCATATCTCTCACACTCGGTAACTCCTTGTGTCTTAGTGGTTTTATTTCTTTGCATGGGGTGAAATGATTAAAAAATAATATTTGTCTGTTGGATTTGGCTTCATGAATTAAGATCTAAGAACTTTTAGTGCGGCCTTTTTAGCTGATGAATACAATCAAGGACAATCATGTTAATATAATTCTGCTTTTGATTTTATAAATTAGTTTTGTTATCGTTAAACTTCTAATCTGAAAATCTAATCAATGCTTTATGAAACATACAATCAATTTTTTTTTTTTTTTTTTTTTGATATTTTTCCGTATTTCTCAGATAAGCAATACAGACATTTTCTTTTTTTATTCCAACTGATATTCTAATATTTTCCTTGGCTTTTATTGATTTGAGACATTATTCTAGAACTTGTCTGAATTATTGATGTTGTTCTTTTCATTACCATGACATTTTAGCCAATCTATTCTTTAGCCCTTTTTTGCATGTATGGAAGGGATATATAGTGTTTACAACTCATCCTTTTTTTTTCTGTAACAATTTCTTTTCTTTTTATGTACCATGTTGTGGTGAACAGTCTCGTAGAAGCAAGCGAGCCAGAGTGGCTTGCATCTGGTGCATAGGAAAATAAGGGTATTATTTCAATGTGCAGCACATGTCATCAGCAAGTTTGATCCTTGGAAATGGCATTATTCTCCCGTCTATCAACACCAGCAGTATGTGCGGTAACAAGGGTTTTTGTACAGTTTGGCAGGCTTCCACCAATAGCAAGTCGTGTGCTGATTGGCCAAACTGGAGGAGACTATTTGCCTGGGTAACTGAGAATAAAAGTGAAGAATGCTGATTGGTTGGTTGACCATAGTGTTGACCTGATAAAAGAGGTCTGAAGCAGTGAAAATGGGAGAACAAAAGACGGATTTATGTTGTGAAATGTTCAGAAAGAAAGAATGGTAGATTGAACCAGCAGTATCTTGACTTGTACAAGTGATGTCGTAGTAATAGAGACTCATTTAAACTACACGTCCTTTCAGGAAGTAGGCGATCATGGCTCTCCACTTCCTCCCTATCCCTTGCAGCTTTCAACAAGTACCATCCCTCTGCTACCTGCCCTAAACCATGTTCAGTCATACACAAGTCCGCCAGGTATGTCGTGTTGTTTTCCCTTGTCTCTCTTTCCTTCTATTTGACCCATGAGTATCAGATTCTCCAGGCCCTCCTTCCTCATTATGTATCTCAAAAACTTCACCTGCCTCTTCCTAATGTTAAGTATAAGCTGTCTCTTCTTCATCTTTGAGGAAATCATCCAACATTCACTGCCGTAAAGAAGGACACGTAATGTCATGTAACAGCTCAGTATTTTTTTCTTTGTTACCAAAGAAATCTTCCTGTCCAGCTTTTTGAATGCAACCTTGGTCATCACAATATGTCTATGAATTTGTGTTGCACTTACCATCCTGTCAAAATGCTTCCCAGATATTTAAAATTCTGTGACAATTTATATTAGTGTTATGGGACCTTACCCATAATAACATAATGAACTATTCCATACGTAATAAATACTGCACCTCAAGAGGAAGCAGGGAGTTTAGTCTGAACTCTGGAGTGAAGTCTGTCAGGAGTCAGTCGAGTCAGAGGCAGTCCAAAACAGTCGCATTCAGACAATTACTACTAAACCTGATTGTTCATACTAACACTTTCTACTTCTCTGTATATATTCTTGTTTGTAATATATCTGTGTTATTCCATATACGTGTTCGAGTTCTTCTTTATTGGTTCTACCTTGGACTATCATCGTGGTACAAGGAACCGGACCATAACAATTAGTAAAAAGAAAGATTTGTATTCTTGGTAATTCATAACTCGATCCTTCTTATTTATACTATTTACATGCAGACTATTTTCCTCATCCTTGTTGTTCACAACATTTCAGCTGCTGTACCCACCAGTCTTCATGCTTATCAGTGTGACCTAGAGGCAATTCTGAACTGAACCCTTTATATTATATTTATATTATGTAGAATAGTAGACTATTCTCGTTCCATTGTCCATGTTG